TTGTCTAAAGCTCCAGATACTTCTAATTGCCACCTGTGATCTGATCCACTTACCTAAACTAACCCTTCATTGAATAATTAAAACCCCAACCTGACATTGGAATTAGACTTGGTGGTTTCTCTACATTATTTCTTTTGTGGCTTCTCACAACAACCCTGTGAGGTAAATAGAGCTGATACTGTTATACCATTTAACAGATGAGAAAACAGGACGCAAAATTGGCTGAGCTGCTTTCACTATGCTAACTTTCAGAGCAGCTAAATAACTGCTATTTCCCCAGCTGAGAACAGAGGAAAGTGGAGGTCTATTGATACAGATGCTTTCTATCATGAGTCTATAGGAAAAGCCCGAAAGCATCTCAAAGGATAAATCATCAAGTCCAATCTCTTAATTTTATAGATGAGGAAACCGAGGCCTGGAGACCTACCTCAAATCACAAGATTTTAGCCAAAATGTGAACTCAAACCTCCATACTCCTAGTTCATATGTTTCCTATTAAAGTGAATTTCCCAAGTGTGATCCATGGACTCCACAGAATATTAACAGATGTTCCTCTGAAAAAGGTTAGCTACGCTAAGCCACCTCGGGGTTAAACCTAGGTAAATAGTGTCCTTGACTGCAGGACCTCCCAGCCTTCACTAGGCTAAGGTGTCTTCTATATCTGAGAGCTTTATATATGATATATGGCATTTTCTCAACTTATTTGAACATGGAGCCATTTTTTTCAGCCAAGCATCTTGAAGTAGTCCCATTCTAATGAGCAGACTTTGAGGAGACTGTTAGCCTTGGCTCTCTTCAAGGTTACCCGGCTTCACTGGTTGAGAACAAGTTGTTCTGCCCCTAGAGGTAGAACACCAGGTATGCAAACTAAAGAGGAAAATGCCATTGGCACCACAAAATATCTCAAACAGCCTGCTCAGGGTAGCAAAAGTATCACCTCATTGTTTTATCCCACTTTGTCCTATAATAGACCACGCCTCAGATCCGTTCCCACACTAGAAGGCATTCTGATGTTCTTCTTGCCCAATTGCTTGCTACTTTGTCATGAATATTCCCGTGTCAGGCACTTTGAGAAACACTTAAAGTGGATTGTCTCATGTAATCCTTAAAACATTCCTATGAGCATGGCTGATATGGCTCAGTGGTTGAGCGTCGACCCATGCATCTAGAGGTCACCGGTTCGATCCCTGGTCAGGGCACATGCCCAGGTTGTGGGCCTGATCCCCAGTGGGGGGCATGCAGGAGGCAGCCATTAGATGTTCTCTCTCATTGATGTTTCTCTCTCTCTCTCTCCCTCTCCCTTCCTCTCTCTCTAAAAAATCAATAAAGAAACAAAATTCCTATGAGGTAAGGACTCTCATTATCCCCATTTTAAAAGTTGTGGGTTAAAAAAGAAAAAATAATAATAAAAAAAATAAAAGTTGAAGAGTCTGAAATTTAGAGAGGTTAGGTAATATTCCGAAAGTCATAGTTCAAAACTATGTTTTGAACCTGAAGCTGCCCAATGTCAGATTCAGCTGTATAATTATGAGATGATGTTGCCACTATAAATGAGCTGCTTTTCCATGTATCAAAGTGTTTATTCTGTTTGGGCGGGGGGTTAAAGAATTGGTTCATGCAGTTGTGGGGCCTAGCAGTCTGGAATGTGCAGTGCTTGCCAGAGAGCTAGCCGTTCCAGCAGGAGTCAGTGGCATAGTCTTGAGCCCGCAGGCAGAATTCCTTCCTGTTTGGCAGACCTGTCTCTTCCCTTATGGCCTTCAACTGACTGCAAGAGTCTCGCCCACATTACAATGGGTAATCTGCTTTACTTGAAGTCTACTGGTGTAAATGGTATTCATATCTAAAAAAATACCTTCATAGCAACCTTCACAGATTTTGTTTGACCAAGCACGGGGTACCATAGCCTAATCAAGTCGACACATAAAATTACCCATTGCATTATGTAAAATACATAGTCCAATTTCCTTATTTTTGCAAATAATCAAGTCAGAGAGACTAAGCACCCAGTTTATACACATGCATTCACAGGTAAATGTGTACACCTAAATTCTCAAACCTTTCATAAATTACTTACTAAAATTAAATCCTTCCAAAACACCAATTATTTCTCTTTTGAAAACTTAATTAGAGAAACTCAGCAGAGTGACCATTTTATCATGTCTCTCCAAACCACTGCCCTAATGCCCTGGATGTTTGGACCACCTTCAGAGCAGATGGGGAGTCTGGAAATAGCTGACACAGTTCTCCCAGGAAACAGACTTTTCTCTCAAGTCCACTCCTATCCCTCCTCCCCCCATCCTCAACCTCTCTAGGCTCAGTTTTCCTCGTGCTTGATGCCTCCTTCTGCCTCTGGGCTTACAAACAAGCTCTTCCCTTCTGGGGCTGAAACACTCTTCCCCAACTCTACTCCACACCTTTTGCCTAGCTAAAGCTCATTCATGTTTCAAATCTTGGCTTAGAAGTTTTTTCCTTAGGGCATGCTTCCCATACCCTCACTTGACTGGGTTAGATGCCCTTCACATGTGCCCTATGGCATGCAGTACCAACCCCCAGATATTTATCTATGTCCCCACTAGGGTCTTGGTCCATAGTATCACCAGCATTAGTCCATCACATAATAGACAGTAAATATTGACGGGAGGGAAAGAAGGAAGGAAGGAGGAAGGGAGGGAGGGAGGAAGAAAAGAATTCTGTAGGCCCTTATACAGCTTAGATCTGACAACTCAGACGGTCTGTGATGGCATCTGCTCAGATAATTGTAGGGTATAAAGCAACTTTGGTCTTTTCAGGTTCTGGTGAGTCTGTCTCTAGTGACCTGGCATTCTTGGGATTTACTTTGCCAGCTTTTGGATATTGATTGATACCAAGGAGTTATTGGTATAAGGTAACAGGAGACTGAACCAGTATGGTAGCAGCAGAAATGAAAAAGAACCAATAAGAGATCTATTTCATAGGTAAATTGGACCGCACTTGTTGGGATGTGAAAGAGAAGGGTGCAGGGTGGGGAAGGTGGGGGAATCTGGTTTTCGTTACAAGACAATATCTTCAATGCCATATTGAATTTCATTTGATGTATTTAAATGTTAGTTATGCATAGGGAAAAGCTGTAAAAATACACACTAATTGTTAGCATTGATTACCTCTGCAAGACAGAACTAGAGGGGACTTTTGTTTTCTAAGTTACCATTTTGACATTGCTTCAACTTTTAGAAGGAGCATATTACTTTATAGTCAGATTTTAAAAAGATATTTGGGTGGTGAACACACAATACCATAAACAGATGATGCATTAGAGACTTGTACACCTGAAACCCGTATACGTTTTTTGTTAATTCTCACCCAAGGATATTTTTAGATAGAGTGAAAGGGAGGAAGGGAGGGGAGGAGAGAGAAAGAGAGAGAGAAACATCGATGTGAGACATATCAATTGGTTGCCTCTGGCACGACCACATCCAGGGCTGGGGATCAAACCTGCAACCCAGGTACATGCCCTGAACCAGAAATCGAACCTGTGACCCTTTGGTCTGCAGGCCAATGCTTCCGCTGAGCCAAATTGGCCAGAGCAAACCTATATAATTTTATTAACCAATGTCACTCCAATAAATTCAAATAACAATTTTTTAAATCATGTGAATATAAAGAAATAAATATAGCATAGGGAACATAGTCAATATTATTGTAATAACTATGTATGGTGTTAAATGGGTACTTTCATAGTAAATGGGAAATGGGCCCCTTCCTATGCTCCATCTCCGCCTCCCACCCTGTGGGAAATATAATGAAGCCCATCAGTAAGTGGACTGTGAGAACTTGGGAGCCCGGCCTGCTCCTCAGTTAATAAAACAGTGTTTTGATCTCATGCAGCTTTCGTACTTCCCCCTCCCCCTGCGTGTCCTGTTTTTCCATAAAACCTTGTGTTGGGCAAGTCTGTGTGGTGGTGAAACAATAGCACTGGCCACCGCCCCCAGTTGGGCCCGGCCTGCTGTCTGCAGGCCAGATGCGGTTTAGCCGTTCAGCTTCCCTGGTGGCAGCCCGTGTGGCGGTCAGCTTCACCAGTCGGCCACCACTGGTGCGCATGTAAGTCCTAATAAACCTATATCTTTCACAGCCAATCCTCTGGGTTATTTCTTTGGGAATCCAAGAACAATATGCTGAAGTTTTCTGGGACCTCAGCACTTTACATAATACTAGATTTATCGGGGTGATCACTTCATAAGTTCTATAAATGTCTTATCACTATGTTGTCCACCTGAAACTAATATAATATTGTATGTCAACTATAATGGAAAATTTTTTGAATTATTTTTAAATTAAAATTTTTTTAAAGAAAGACATTTTATATAGCCCAAAATATGACATTACATATAGCCCAAAGGAGGGTCATCCTCTTCAGCAGCTGGGGCAAACTTCAAACCCTCTAAATGAAAACCAGGTGCCCACGGGGAGTCTGTACATTAAGTCAGGGTGAAGTTTTGTAAGACAGTCCTGGCTCACAGCAGTGCCTCGATAATGTTTAACAGCTGAATTTATCATTAAACTCAGTAATGTTAATAACTGGACTACAGATTTAATTCAACTTGTCTTTTTCTCCAGTGCATGACAAAGTACTTATCACCAGGAGCTTAAAAAGTGTCTGCCCTTAAGGGCATGGCTGTCTAAAGTAACAACGGCACCTGCTTTCCCCTCCTTACTACTGCCCAACAATCCCATTCTTCTCTTTCCTTTGCTCTCATCTTCCCAGACCTTTTTAAAATTGCCTTTGGGAACCACAAGAGGGCAGCATCCTCATGTATAAGAAAGGGGCTCAGGCATTATTCATCATAAAAAGCAAAGGGATGACGCCCTTATAAATGTTATCAAAATATTAGAGAGTTCAGCATCTTGCCCCAAATGTGTGTGGGACCACATTTAATATTTTGTTAGAAATTATAAACAATGAGTGGAAAAGAAATGCATGCTGGCAAGTGAAGATAATGTATTTCCCTCTCTTCCAGATCCTGTCCCAGAGGAGGTGTTAGACAAAAAAGAGACCAGCATAGAACCCAAGTTACTCCTAATGCAAATTCTTGCACCAGGATGGAAGGAGAATCTTACCACAATGCAACCACTGTCAACGGCACCCCAGTAAACCACCAGCCTTTGGAACGCCACAGGTTGTGGGAGGTGATCACCATTGCAGCTGTGACTGCTGTGGTCAGCCTGATCACCATTGTGGGCAACGTCTTAGTCATGATCTCCTTCAAAGTCAATAGTCAGCTGAAGACAGTTAACAACTACTACCTGCTCAGCTTAGCCTGTGCGGATCTCATCATCGGGGTCTTCTCCATGAACCTCTATACCACCTACATCCTCATGGGGCGCTGGGCTCTTGGAAGTCTGGCTTGTGACCTCTGGCTTGCAGTGGACTACGTGGCCAGCAACGCTTCCGTCATGAACCTTCTGGTGATCAGTTTTGACCGTTACTTTTCTATCACAAGACCCCTGACATATCGGGCCAAGCGCACCCCAAAGAGGGCTGGCATCATGATCGGCTTGGCCTGGCTGATCTCCTTCATCCTCTGGGCCCCAGCGATCCTCTGCTGGCAGTACTTGGTTGGGGAGCGGACGGTGCCCCCAGACGAGTGCCAGATCCAATTCCTGTCTGAGCCCACCATCACCTTCGGCACCGCCATTGCTGCCTTCTACATTCCCGTTTCTGTCATGACGATCCTCTACTGCCGAATCTACCGGGAAACAGAGAAGCGGACCAAGGACCTTGCTGACCTCCAGGGCTCTGACTCTGTAGCTGAAACTGAGCAGAGAAAGCCAGCTCACAAGGCTCTGCTCAGGTCCTGCTTCAACTGCCCTCGGCCCACGCTGGCCCAGAGGGAAAGGAACCAGGCTTCCTGGTCCTCCCGCAGGAGCACTTCCACCACTGGGAAGCCATCCCAAGCCACTGGCCCGAACACTGAGTGGGACAGAGCTGAGCAGCTCACCACGTGTAGCAGCTACCCCTCCTCAGAGGACGAGGACAAGCCCACCACTGACCCCGTCTTCCAGGTGGTCTACAAGAGTCAGGCCATGGAAAGCCCAAGGGAAGAATTCAGTGCTGAAGAGACGAAGGAAACTTTTGTGAAAGGTCAAACTGAAAAAAATGACTATGACACCCCAAAATTCTTCCTGTCTCCGGCAGCTGCTCATAGACCCAGGAGTCAGAAATGTGTGGCCTATAAGTTCCGATTGGTGGTAAAAGCTGATGGGACCCAGGAGACCAACAACGGCTGTCGCAAGGTGAAAATCATGCCCTGCTCCTCCCCAGTGTCTAAGGACCCTTCAACGAAAGGCCTGGATCCCAACCTCAGCCATCAAATAACCAAACGAAAGAGAATGGTCCTCGTCAAAGAGAGGAAAGCAGCCCAGACCTTGAGTGCCATTCTCCTGGCCTTCATCATCACGTGGACCCCTTATAACATCATGGTCCTGGTTTCCACCTTCTGTGACAAGTGTGTCCCAGTCACCCTGTGGCACTTGGGCTACTGGTTGTGCTACGTCAATAGCACTGTCAACCCCATTTGCTATGCCCTCTGCAACAGAACCTTCAGGAAGACCTTTAAGATGTTGCTTCTCTGCCGGTGGAAAAAGAAAAAAGCGGAAGAGAAGTTGTACTGGCAGGGGAATAGCAAGCTCCCCTGAAGTTAACAACGCCTCTCAAAAGAATGACCATCATCCACTTTCTCTGAGGATGGGCAAGCTGATTCTAGTTTGTTGATTTTCAAAAAAGACACCTGTCATTTTGAGTCCCGGAGGACTTTGTAAAGGCTTGAGGTCCGTCACCCAAAGGAATGAGCCACACCTGCCACAACTGCTGCCATAATGAATGATTCTCGTCTGTGACTACGGCCGCCTGATGCCACTGGAGTTTGCCCTTGAAGTAAATAGACTCGTGGCACCTCAGGAGGGGAGACATGCTGGGTTGGGATGGACAATGACTGAGGGAACTTTTGTGGGGAACCACAGGGACCAGTTGGAGACCTCTCCCTGTGGAAGCCTGTCATAGACTTTTGTGCAGCGTGTATTTGTCAATGTCTTGTGCCAGTGAGAACCAGGGGAATGTAAGTCAGTGTTACTTATTAGCAAGAGTGTTATTCAACTGGCTTCTAAGACTTTCTTTATACACCAATCAGTATTTATTTGCAAAGTATTTATTATACAGCTACTATGTGTTCTGCACTGTGGTATGTTTTCCTGTCCCTACACCTGAGCAAAGCTCTTGCTAATCCTGTTCACAACTGATGCCAGTTCCTGGTACCCACTGAAACCATGCTGGTCCCCATCCTTCCTTTCAGAATCCTGCGTCTGGAAGGACCTGAAACCTGATCACGCCCAGTCCTAGAGAAGGCCTCTGTTCTGCCAGTAAAGATGATCCCATCTCCACAGTTACTTTAGGTTTCACCAGTGGGGAGTTCTTTCCTTTTTTTCTAAACAAATATTGTGCATTCTATTTTGTGTCCAGTTAAACCCATTCACTCATGCTCTGCTCTTGGGAAGACTAGTTGTGACGAGGCCTTCATGAGTAAAGATCTCCAGAATATTTCACCAGGGTTCTCGTACATTGTTGCGGGGGTCTTCCTTTCCTGAGCAAAGCAAACCTGAGGCAAAATGTGGAAAACAAATTGGTTTCACTCTGTGCTTTTAACTTATCCCAGGGACCTTCAGCAGGCCCCCAATTTCCCTCATTGGGACCCCAGTTCACACCCAGGCACAAGCAGGTCCCTGTGGAGCCTCCAGCCAAAAATGGACAGTGGGGCAAAGGTTTCATTATTTTTTTATAGGTCCTTCAGTCGTGGTTCAGAAATGATTTACTTATTCATTCCTCTCCAACTTCATGGTAAGTCCAGAAAAGTACAGCTGAGATCCAGTGAAGCTGGATATGGTCATTAAAAATGAAAGATGAGGCTTTGAAAACAAAATATAGGTCAAATGACGTATGAAAATAAAGCAGTTATAGCAATATAACAGAGCATCAGGTTTACTAAAAACCAAATGGAATTGAAATCTGTGTACATAAACTGAATCTATGCTGTTTCTTTGATAATTTTGAAAATAAACCCATGTGCAAGAAATTAAAACTATAAAATAGCGCAAGCAGTTAATGACAGACCCACAAAGAAGGCAGCAGTATAGAACTCATGGAGAAATTTAAAGATGAAACACTGCTGCCAGACAGGGCCCCTCATTTAACCTGTTGACTATATCTGCAGTGTGTTTAAAAATCTCCAGACTAGTCCTGGCCAGTGTGGCTCAGTAGTTGGAGTGTTGGCCTGCACCCAAAGGGTCAAAGGTTCAATTCCTGGTCAAGGACACGTACCTGGATTGCAGGTTTGATCTTTGGCCGCGGTTGGAACACATGGGGGGTGGGGGGGAGCAACCAATTGATGTGTCTCTCTCACATCGATGTTTCTCTCTCTCTCTTCCCCTTCCCCACTCCCTCCTTTCCACTCTAAGAATCAATGGAAAAAATATCCTCAAGTGAGGATTAACAACAACAACAATCTCCAGACTTCATTTCACTTAATATAGGCCGATTACGTACTTGCGTATGGGACAGTTTCGCCCTGCCCCTGAAGAGCAAACCAGCCTCTTACAAAGTCCCGAGAATGCTTCAGGGCAGTAGAAACCCAGGGCGCTCCTCCAGCCCTATAGGGACTCAATGTTAAGATGTAACATCTTGGAAGCAATGTAGCTACTGAGCCTCTGTGAAGGGCAGGTTGACACCTGCCAAGAATTTGGTTGAAAGTATTAATTAATTGGCTCAGTTCTCCAGGACAGAGGCTCCCAGGCCTGTGTGATGCCAACAGGGTGTGACTTCGTGAGCAAACCTGCTCCACCAGCTCTAGATGAACAGTTGGGTTTTTTAGTTTAAGGCTTTGGATCCTGAGAAAAGTGAAAATCCCTCCAAGAGGGTAACAGCACTTTGAACCCACACTGGGCATTCACTGTTCAGAGAGAGAAGAGAAACAAGCTCATTCAAACAAAAGAAGGAAGAACCTGAGGCAGGGACGGGGGGCGATGGAGGTACACGTTCACACTGCACAGTTGCCTAGGACTTTTTGTTTATCCTATGTGAAATTAATGGAGAGGCCTACGCTTCCGTATCACTGGCTTTTGGAGACAGTTTTGCAGACTACCTTTGCCCTTTGACATAAACCAAAAAAAAAAAATTTTTTTTTTAAATGCCCAAACTGCTAGGAGAGACACATCAGGCCTCTAGTGGGGTCCTCAGAATGAAGATCCAATTGTAAGCAGCAGGGACCTGGCGGGCAGGTGGGTGAGGTGTGGGCTGACCTTAGATCTTAGACTTCTATGCCCCAGCCTCCCAAGCTCCGTCTGGGGTACGCTAGTTACCTATTAGATGCTGCTATGTTGCTAACGTGATGTTTCTCCTTGGCTGTGAACTTGATGGTTTGTTGAGGAATCTCTTTTCAGTACACTTTTTGGTTAAAGCATTTTGTCAATATTCCTGTCCTCTGCGTTGCTCCTTTGAGAGAGATGCTGATGTTGGGCTCTTTGTCATTGTGAAATCTGCACCCAGTCTCTGATTGGAATCCATTTGTCTATTATGAATACTGGAATTATAGCAAAGGATGTGGGGACTGGGCTGTTTTTCTGTATTGTACAAGCATCATTCTGGAAATTAAAGAAATTTAAACACAGAGTAGTCCAATGCAAAGCATTTAAATAAGAACATGGTCTCAGGTTAGCTTGATAGATCCATCTGTATTGGAAATCCTACAGACATTTTCATGGCCTGGCCTTTTAAGAAGGGAGAGGTTGATTCACAATATAGATACACGTCCCTTTTGCTACCTTTGTGATTTCCCCCTTTCCTCTGTTACCAATGACTAAATTAAGATGAAAGAATGATGACAAGATTCCTATGACTAAAATGCTTCTCTTGCCCTCCTTGACAAGGGAGGCGGGGCAGACCTCCAGCCCCAGCCCTTCAGCTGGTACAGACCCCGCACAGACAGCGGCATTCCCTCTTTAACTGCTCCGAAGGCTGCAGCCCTGGTCATCTCATCCCCCATGCCATTTCACCAGTGAAGTTTGAGATTATACACTCTTACCCAATAAGGACCTCAGATTGAGAGCAGGAGGGGGAAAGGAAATACATTTTTGTAAGTATCAAGGAAGGAACCAGAAGGACATGAAAAAACAAAACTTTTTTTTCAAAATAATTTTTTTTTTTATCCTTACCCGAGGACACTTTTTCCTTTTTAGTTCAGATAGAGTGGGAGGGAGAAAGAGGAAGCGAGAGAGAAACATCGACGCGAAAGGGACACATCGAGTGGTTGCCACCCGCACAACCCAACCAGGGCCGGGGACAAACTGCAACCGAGGTACGTGCTCTTAGCGGGAACCGAACCCGGGTCTCTCTGGACCGCAGGCCGACACTCTAACCACTGAGCCAAACAGGCCAGGGCTCAAAATAATTTTAAACTTAGAGAAAAGCTGCAAGAATAGTATACAGAACTCCCGTATCTTTCACCCACATCCCCCAATTGTTAACATTTTGCCACATTTGTATGCTCGTGTGTGTGTGTGTGTACTCACATATATTTTTCTCAACCATCTGGAGTAAGTTGCAGACATTGTGTTCATTGACCTCTAAATATTCCAGTGGGTATTTCTTAAGAAAAGGAGCTTATATTACATAACCACAATACAAGAATAACAATCAAGAAATTTTACATTGCTACAATATTATGTAATAAAGTCTGTACTCAAATTTTACCTGTAGTAAAACGATGCACAGGAATGTCCTGTCCAGTTCAGGAGCTAAGCCAGGATCACACGTGCATGTAACTGTCATGTCTCATGAGCTGCTTTGCGTCTAGAAGAGCTCTTCAGCTTTCCCTTGTCTCTCATGACATGGTCATGTTTTAAGAGTACATACAATCCAATTTAGAAAAATAATTTCCATCATTCATGAGTTTGTCCGACTTTTCCTCATTAGGTTCAGTTTAATTTGTTTTGATTTGGGCAGGAGTATCACGGGTGATACTGTGACCTAGATGTGTCACATCAGGAGGACATGATGTAAAATCCCATCGTTGGTGATGTAAACATCGATCACTTGGTTTAAGTTCCCACCACCTTCCTCCCCAGGTTTCTCCACTATAAATTTACTATTTTTCCCTCTGCAATTAATACTTTGGGAAAAGAGACTTTGAGCCTATATAAATTTACTATAAGTTATCAGGTTTTCACCCAATAATGATAGCATCTATTTATTATTCTCACCCAAGTATGTTATTACTATGATGATTACCAAGTGGTTGGCATTCTACTGTGGGAATGCTTTTTCCTTCTGATTTATTTATGTACTTATTATCATTATGGACTCATTAATTCTTATTTTAGTAATTGGTTAAAAATCCACTGCTGTCAAGCCCTGGCTACTGTGGCTCAGAGATCAGAGTGTCAGGCCGCCTACTGAAGGGTCTTGGGTTTGATTCCCAGTCAGGGGCATGTACCTGGGTTGCAGGTTCGATCCCTGGACCTGATCAGGGCACATTGGGGAGGCAACCAATCAATGTGTCTCTCTCACATCAGCGTTTCTCTCTCTCCCTCCCTCCCCTTCCACTCTCTGAAAATCAATGAATTAACAAAAACAAACAAAAAAAACTATTGCTGTCATTATTTCAATGCTCAAATTGTTACCAATTTAAGCAGTGAGAGCTTCAAGATGTGACCCTCTGATGTGTCCTATTTTTTTGAGTACTCCCTTACTTTCTGGTACAACAGAAAGTTCCAGGCTCAGCTTTACTCTCCCTACCCCAGCCCATTAATCAGCCATGTCTTCAAGGAGCCCTGGTTTCATTCGTAGAGAATGGTACCTTACTCAGATCTGGACTCAGAATATATTCATTGCTCTTAGGCCCTTTTAGTGGATGAAACTAAGAAATACATATATATGGATACTTACTAAAAGCAATGAATTCATACTGACACCTGCAATTCCAATCCTATACCATTGGATTCTTCCTTTTCCATATTTGTATCTCCCTTCTCCAAT